TGTTTTGAACAGAGTTGAGCACACAGAAATTGCAGCATAAATGTTTGCTATTCTTATCGTCACCTTATCTCATTCAATGAAATGCCAACGCTTGTGTTCATCTCTCAGAGTGAGAAAATCAAGGCTTAAAGAGGTCAATAATTTGCCCAAGGCCAGTGGTGAGTATTTTTGGCAGGTTGGCTGCTTTATCAGCTCTCACTATGATCGGGTAGCCAGGTTCCTTTCTGCTGTCTTCCTTGCCATCTTCAGGGGATCGGCTGTCACGCTGGACAAGCTTCTCACCTCATAGTCACAGGGTTGCTGCGAAAGTCAAACCTGTCCTAGAAGTCGCCTCTGCACATTTCCCCGCATGTCTCATCATTCGCCGTTGAGCCACATGCCCACCCTGAAGCGATCCCAGGTTCCAGAGAGAAAACCAATGTGAGCACACAAGTACATTTAAAATGCAGTCCTAAAAAAATCAGAGATCTGCCCGCAAGGAAGAAGAGGTGGTGGGGCTTGGAAGGTATGCAACCATGGCTGAGACAGCAGGAGCCAGGCTGGAACTCCAGGCTCTAAAGGTTCTACTCAACCACGAAGGTTCCGCTTTCCATTGCAATGAAAACATTCCAGGTCTGCACTGCCCAGCTTGGCAGCCGCAGCCTCACATGACCACTGAGCACCTGAAATACAGTTCATATGCTAAGAAAGTCCATTTAATTGTTTAACTTCAATTTACTTAAATTAAAAGAGCCACAGGGTCCACACAGTGGCTCCTGTATTGACAGCACAGGGCCAGCTTGTTAGTGGCATCATTTATTACCTTGGGCAGCATTTCTATGGGAACAGCCATGTCCTGTAGGTCTATACTGCTGTAGAAATAGAATGTGTGATGTAAACAGAACTTAAAATTTTAAGTAGCCACGATTACAAAAAAAAAAAAAGAGAAATAAGTAAAATTCATTTTATAATATGCTTTATTTTATCTCTATTTCCAAAACATTATCATATCAACATGTAAGAAATATAAGAAGCATGAATGGGATATGTTGCATTCTTTTGTTCATCATAAGTGTTTGAAATCCCTTGTGCATCGGACAGAGCACCTGACTATTTGAACTCACCATATTTCCAGCACTGCATAGCCCATGTGGCCAGCACTGGTTTAGAGATTTCAGAAAGCATTCATGGAAAATTCTCTTTCCGGGTCCTCATTCACTACCCTGGGGAGTGGCCAGATGAGGAAGCAAGGCCTAGAAGGGCCCAGCCAGTGGCTCTCACACTATGTTCGTCCGAGTCCCTCCAGGGCAGGTTCACTCACAGATGGCTGGGCGCCGCCCCTGCATTTGCCATCCAGCAGGTCTGGGCAGGTGCGAGGATGCACGTTCCTAACAGGGGAGGCTGATGCTGCCGGCGCAGGGCCATGTTTTGAGAAGCATTGCTCCAAGGGTTCCACCCACGCTCACACCCCAGTAAGAACATGGCTCAGAACTGAAATCCTTGCTTTCCGTCTTCCATCTCATTCTCTATTTGCACAGACATAAGGCCAGGTTGCTAAGACAGTCTGAAAACAGCTACCAAAGAACAGAGGTGCCGCTCACAGTTACCCCAGTGTGCTCCAGATGATGACAGCAGGGTCTACCTAACTTGGATACTTTGAAGGATTGGACCAATGTGACCTATCTCAGACCTGTGCCTTTCTCTGGCTGACTTTTTTTTTTTTTTATCTCATATGATTTTGGGTTCCATTTCTTAAAAAAAAAATCATTGGATGAAATCTTAAGGAAGCCCTCACCTTGATATTTGGTGTAACAGTTGAGTCTTCGAGGTAGAGCTGGGGGCTCTGTCATTGCAATGTCTAGGATGTCCCTGGCATTCAGGTGGAAATCCGAAGACATTTGCCCAATCCACAGAAGTGACTTCAGACAAGGTCCTGCACTTAGCCCTGGGTAAATCATGCTTTTAATATGCTCAATGGCAGAACTGCTCAAAGCCATTCTGAGCTGCTGAGAGCACTTCAGATTATTTTCCACACCAGCAGGTGACAGAAGTGGTTCTCAGGGACCGCTGTCATTCTGCTGAGAGCCAAGACTCCTCTTGGTGCACTGTGATTTGCAGGGAAAGCTGTGACCTGTGGGCCAGAGGCACTGAAAGGTTGCTTGTGGTTGCAGGTACCTCCAAGCTTGAGCGGCAGTTTTGAAGTGTGGAGATGGGAGGCGAGTTATTGACACCTTTAACAAAGGAGCTGCTGCTTCTGGCTTTGAGAGGGGCTGAGAGGCCCCTGGTTCACCATCTCATCACTGGGCTGGAAGCTGCACAGGGCCCAGCTGGGCCTGCAGGCAGTGCTTCAGCACCTGGAGGAGCTGGTCCCTTACATTCAGCCTATCTTTGGCTCCATGCCACTCTCGACAATGCGCAGGAGAGCCACTTGGGTCTGACGCTGGAATTTAATCAGCAGGTAAGGAACAGGCCCCAGTGTGTCCTGGGCAAAAGGACGAGATGGGTGTGCTGAAAAGCAGCTCAAAAACAGACTTCGCTTTCCTTTGTTTTAACTCAGAGTGAACGTTTCTCTAGGCCTCCTCTCCTGTGGGAGGAAGGTAGTGGCTGCATCCTGTTCCGGTGCTTCTTTAGTGTCCTGGGCAAGAACAGCTGTGGGCACACCGATGCCCCAGCCTCTTCCTGTCTCGGGACCCCCAGGCCGCCCTTCAGCGGTCTCCAGCTTCCAGCCTCTGAGCAGGGGCCTCTTTCTGGCTTTCCTGATGTTTCTCCTGACCTCTTCCGCTGGCGCTTCTGAAGGCACAGTAATATTTGTACATCGTAATTGGTTCCCAGGCTGCTGCCTCTCTGTCTCTCCATCGAATTAAATGTTGCATTCGTGCACTTTAGAAGTACCATGGACCTTTCAAAATATACAGATGCCTGGGCACCACTCCAGATGAATAAGTCAGAGTCCCTGAAGACAGAGCCCAGATATCCATGTGTGAGGCTTTCAGGTAATCCCAGGATGCAGCCTGTCCTGGAAAGCTCTGGATTGAGGTTGAGGCCCCCATGCTGCAGAGGGGCCCTAGAGCACAGGGAAGTGAGTTCCTGGAAGCACTAGCTGTGTACCACATAGGGCTAATAACCATGGGGACAGTCACGCATGCTTCTCTTCTTAGATGCTAACTTAGCATGCTTGGAGGCATACCCACGTGTATGGAGAGAGGGGGGCAGAATTGGGAAGTGTTAGGAGAAAAACCTAAAGTAGACACAGGAAAGATTCCAGGGACTCACACCTGAGTCAGGGGAAGAAGAAATACTTTCTCAGGAAAGGGAAGGGGCTGAGCGTTCAATGGGCAGGGGGACAGCAGAAGAGAAGAGACCAAAAGGACAAGACTGCCCCCAGCACCTCCACACTGGGCCCTGGAGGGGCCATCTGCAGAGAAGCCACCTAAGGGTCTTACCAAGACTGGGATTAAAGGTAAAAGCTCCTATACTCCTCTTCCCTCCTAAATCTGAGGTTGCCCTTGTTCCTTTCCACCAAAGGATGGTGCCATGTAGAATGACAGGTGTCATCTCCTTCCTCTTTCTAAGGGAAGGGACTCTTTCTTAGGGACAAAGAGGAAAGGACAGACCAACCTATGGAGTGGAGGAGTGCTAGGCCATATCCTCCCAACACGTCTATTTCTGAGGACAGCTGTTGAGGTCAGCTATGGGGTTGCACTGGTGCCGATTGGGCCCATGCTCCCATTCCACGTCTGGATAAACAGCAGTCAGCAATCCTCCGCCCACCTCCACCCTTGGAAAGGCCTCCCCCAGTTGCATCCTGACTCCCTCCTCTCCGTCGCTGTCCCAGCCACCCAGCTGAGAGCTGAGACATCACCCCCCCAGGTGGCCAGTTCTGGACCCACCAAAGGCCTTTCTGGCTGGCTGGGGATTAAAGGGGGTCACCACCCCACAGAGATGGGGCCAAAGACAGCCAGGCTCCTGAAAGGCAGCGCTACTTTGAGAATAACTTTCCCAGGCCAATCCCCACTTCAGGACGTTGCTGCGCCCTGTGCTAGCTAGTGGGACTAAGGCTGGAGCTGTCAGCTGCTTATGGGTGTCTTGCCAGGGGTGAGTGAAGTCACTGTCTCTTGAGTTTAGAGGGAGAATGGGAATCCCAGGCTGGAGCTCCCTTCTTTCCCGACCTCTGGACCACTGCCCTCCTCAGGCACATTTCAGAGACCAGGGATGGAGACCCGCGAACAGTGACTGAACCAGGGTGCAGGGTGAGGGTTCTGAGAATCCGCTCCTGCAGCTGCTGCCAGTTCCCGAGCGAGCTAGCACAACAGGCTTGGCCTTCTTTGGTGGCATCCCTGCCTCCGCCTGTCTGACTCCATTCCCTGCGCCCACCTCACTTAACTGCTCAGAGATAGAAGTTACGAGGTCCGGCATCTGCAGTTGTTCAGGGTGAATTGGGGAGGGGGAAGGGAGTGGGGAGCGGTGGGGAAAACTGGACATCCTGACAGACCTGAAATTCACCTGGACGTCAGTGGAAGCCTCAGGTCTGCCTTTATAAAATGGACTTAGCCATAGGCCAGGATTAAAGGGCAGATGAGGGGACGCCGAGTACAAGGCTAGTGGCTCCGAGCTAATGGGTGGTCTCTGGCCAATGCCGACCACCTCTTTACCCAGAGGGAGGACTCCAGGACTTTCAGCCTGCTGCCTCAGTCCCCCTATAACAGAACGGGGAACTGGACCTCAAAGGGCTGATGGGGAAAACAGGATCTGAATAGAGGCGCAAAGGAAAGAGGTCAGGCGGGTGACCCCGGGAGGGCTGGGCGGGGCGGGGTTATCGGTGACCCTGGAGCTGGACGGAGACCTAGGAACCTGGGGCGGAGTTGGCAGCCGGAGGGGGCGGCGGAGGTGGGAAAACGGGGCGGGGCCGGAAAGGACTCCAGGGCGGGGTGAGGCCAGGCGCCTACACCCAGGAGCTGGGGCGCCGAGGGGCGCCGGCCCCAGGGGTGCGAGCCCGCCGGGTGCCCGCAGCGGTGGGGCGCGCGGCTCTGGGATTGGCGGGCGCTCCGCGGTTCTCGCAGCTCTTCAGCGGAGCTGGGAAGAGCCGCGCGTCTGCGCACCAGCCCCCGCCCGGGGCCCGCCGCCCGCGCTCTCTCGCGCAGCGCTAGCTTCCCCGCGCTCCGCAGTCCAGCACCGACACCCCTGGGCATGAGCGCCCCCTCGACGCTGCCCCCTGGGGGCGAGGAAGGGCTGGACACTGCCTGGCCCCCCGCAGCCAACGCCAGCAGCGCCCCGGCGGAGGAGGAAGAGGTGGTGGCGGGGCGCGGGGGCGCAGGGACGGCGGGCATGGTTGCCATCCAGTGCATCTACGCGCTGGTTTGCCTGGTGGGGCTGGTGGGCAACGCCCTGGTCATCTTCGTGATCCTTCGCTACGCCAAGATGAAGACGGCTACCAACATCTACCTGCTCAACCTGGCGGTCGCCGACGAGCTCTTCATGCTGAGCGTGCCCTTCGTGGCCTCGTCGGCCGCCCTGCGCCACTGGCCCTTCGGCTCCGTGCTGTGCCGCGCGGTGCTCAGCGTCGACGGCCTCAACATGTTCACCAGCGTCTTCTGTCTCACGGTGCTCAGCGTGGACCGCTACGTAGCCGTGGTGCACCCTCTGCGCGCGGCGACCTATCGGCGGCCCAGTGTGGCCAAGCTTATCAACCTGGGCGTGTGGCTGGCTGCCCTGCTGGTCACTCTCCCCATCGCCATCTTCGCAGACACCAGACCAGCTCGCGGCGGCCAGGCCGTGGCCTGCAACCTGCACTGGCCACACCCGGCCTGGTCGGCAGTCTTCGTGGTCTACACTTTCCTGCTGGGCTTCCTGTTGCCCGTGCTGGCCATCGGCCTGTGCTACCTGCTCATCGTGGGCAAGATGCGCGCCGTGGCCCTGCGCGCTGGCTGGCAGCAGCGCAGGCGCTCTGAGAAGAAGATCACCAGGCTGGTGCTGATGGTCGTGGCCGTCTTTGTGCTCTGTTGGATGCCCTTCTATGTGGTGCAGCTGCTGAACCTCTTCGTGACCAGCCTCGATGCCACCGTCAACCACGTGTCCCTCATCCTCAGCTATGCCAACAGCTGCGCCAACCCCATTCTCTACGGTTTCCTCTCCGACAACTTCCGCCGATCCTTCCAGCGAGTTCTGTGCCTGCGCTGCTGCCTCCTGGAAGGAGCTGGCGGGGCTGAGGAGGAGCCCCTGGACTACTATGCCACTGCTCTCAAGAGCAGAGGTGGGGCAGGGTGCATGTGCCCCCCGCTTCCCTGCCAGCAGGAGCCCCTGCAACCAGAACCCAGCCGCAAGCGCATTCCCTTCACCGGGACCACCACCTTCTGAAGAGTCCTCCCCCAACCCGCCCTGCATGGCCACCTCTCAAGGGGCCGGCACCATTCCTACAGCCCCGAAAACTGCATCTCCTGGATGCTCACCTAAGCTCCACCACCTGTTCCTTCCAGCAGCGCATGTGCCGGCTGGGGAGTGTCAGAAGTCTGCTGCTGCTCTCCTCTCCCCAGCACTCTGGCTTTCAGAAGGATGCTTTGGGTAGGACTCCTTGGGAACTGGGCTAGGATATTAATAATTCCTGAACCTCTGGCTGTTCTTCAAGGGCTGGGAAGCAGGAGGTGGTGAGAAATGAATGGCCCCTGTGTGTGACTCGTCACAGCCGCTGCTTTGGAGAGAACTTAAGAGGGTGAAGGCAGGTAGCACCCTTCCTCGCTGCAGACGCTCTGCCTTGTGGTGGGAGAACAGCTTGCACAGAAAAGAGGAGGAGGAAGATGCCCGCAAGTACCTGTCCTCTGTGTCTCTTCCTGGGCTCTTGTTGCTACGTGAGACTTATGTCAACAGAGTGGGACACTTGCTTCTCTTCCCCCTCACTCCCCACCTGGGGAAAATACCTGCTTGCTGTCCCAAGTGCCTCCCTGGGGTGTCCTGGGCTGGGAGCAGTCTACCTGTGAGTAGAAAAGGTTTGGAGAGGCATGGCATGGGGTTTATTGCAAGGCATAAAACCAGGTCAGTAATAACAAAGCAGAGAAGATAAAAACCTCGTTTAGCTTCTATGATGTAATTTTTGTCCCTGATCCTTTGATGTGGGAAAATGAGAACTCATTAAGGCAGCAATTTATACTGTGGTGGTGAGTGGGAGGGGAGCCATGGGCGGGGAAAGAGCAGAGAGCAGCGAGGGATGGGAACCAGCCCAGGTTTTACACAGAGGAGGCAGCGTCATCACCCACTATTTTAGAATGTCATCGTTCAGTAAAACATCAGCCACATTAGATATTAACGCGTAAGTTGAACACAATAAGAGGCTGTAACTTTGTTGACTGATGTGTTAACCAAAGGATAAATCATCTTTCCCAAGAGGAAAGAGCATAAGAAGAGCTTTAATTCTGCTTTCTGATAAAAGCAGGGGAGGGGGTAAAGGAGAACTTGCAACACTTATGTTAGCATCTGGTGTAACAACAGAGAAACATGTATGACGTGCTGTTTGTGGGGCCCCACCTGGCTTCACATTCAGAGTTAAGCTGCCAGCCTGGGTTTAGCCGCCAGCCTGATTCTGGATGACCATTCTGATGGTGTGGAGAAGTTGGTGTGGGGAGGGGGAGACACAGCCAAAGGGCAACACCCTATGCTATTTCGAGTGGTCAGCCTCACAGACCGCTCAGAGAATGCACAGCCAAACTAGAGACATGACTATAAAATGGAAGTTTCAAAACTAAGTCACAGAACCCTGTGATCTTGCAAACACAAGGGAACACACACAGAGACATCAACCATCCCTGATTTTCAGTACCCACCAGGGTTACCTTGGGCATTTAGAGTAAGTCAGTCCCATGACTGTGGGTCTCATGTAACCACAACGACTTGGAGGTTTTTAAACTGCAGTATTTCTTTGTTCTTCAGTGTCTGACAATGCCTGCCAGGATGGGCACATGATAAATGTGGTTGAACGGAACTGCAGGGACCACCCAGGGTGGTAGCAGTGAGGTGAGGGGTTCACGGCACTGACGATGGTCCCTAGGGCTTCTTCCCAGCTTGTGTGTGGGGATGGGGGTCCTTTCTTTAGTCCCCCAGTGATCAGGCTGGGCAAACTCGCTGATAAACAAGGCAGGGCACTGACCAGGAGTCTTGGTAACTCCAGTGCCTGGCTGCCCAGGTTAGCACGGAATAAGACACATTCTATTTAGAAACTTCAGCCTTTTTAATGCAGCTGATGAAAGTTGAAGGTGAGGCAGCTGCAGGTGATGGAAAGAAAAATCTCTGAGAGGCAGGAGATCTCAGCCTCAGCTACTTTGTGAGCAGTGATTTAACCTCTTTAAGCCTCAGTTTCGCACTTGAAATAGGCACCAAGGGAGGTTTCAAGTTTCGAGCTCTTCCCGGCTGTAAACTCTGTTTTGGCAGAGATGCTGGGGAGACACGTGAGTCAGACAGTGGAAGGGTAGGAGGCAGCACGCTCTCTGCCTAGTCTTCTTTCCATCACTGCTGATAAATGAGTGTGAACACTGCCCTTGACCCTGCAATCATGTCATGCAGGTGGTGGCTGGGTGGGGGTGGGGGGTGATCCGATCGACTGCTCTGTTCTTTAACTTCAGGGCCTTTTCAATTCCTGGCAGCAGCAAGGCACCTGAGCACTCGTCAGAGCTGCATTTGGAGCCCGTCAGCAGTGCTGCCAGCTTTACTTCCATCAAACCCAGGTTTTTGTAGCAACCAGTTGAGTGAAACCCTTCCTTGTAGTTTGTGTGCAGAAGATTTCAGTGAATTGAAGTCATGAGCCATACAGCCAAGGTCCTGAGAGCCGTTGACCTATGTCACCTGCTTGGGAGGCTTGCTTTGATGGTCATCTCGTTGTGCCTGCTAAGACCAGGAGTCACAGCTTTTGACATCAATGTGAATAAAAACATTTCCTGCCAAAGGTAGAAACAGCCTTTGCTCATCCCTCCACCCATCAGAGATCTTGCTGTTTCTTTTTAAATTGCCTTTAATTTACTGTTCCATGGCAAGCCAGGTGTTACATGTTCCCAGATGATCAGGAAGATGGTAATTGGACGTGACAAGCTGTCACTGAACAGGATAACTGCCCAGTTTGCTCTGATCTGTGAGCAAAGATGCATATGCCTTTCACACTTGTCTGTGAAGTCTTGGCTTCACCTTTGTTAAAGTCATCATAGCTGGCATTCCTTAGGTGCTAGAGGTGGATGCAAAGGGTCGACTGACTGCCACATGTTTTGGCGGCACTGCGTCAGAAACCAGATTCACTGCCTCAGACATGAATCCTAGCAAAGGTGGCCATTGACACTCTTCTCTGAGAGGTTGGAGGTAGTAAACCACCCCTATCTACCACATTGTCATGCAGTAAGTAGATGACAGCATAGCCTCCGATTCCTTAAGAACGAATGTCAGAATCCTAGGGCTGCATTTTCTGAGACAGCTCCACTATGGTGTACACCGTCAGCCAGCAGCACACCCCGGAAACTGTCCTGCTGACCTGTGTGCAGTTGGGGATACATGCGGACAGTTCGCTGAGTGCTTCTCTCGGGTGGTGCAGCCAGTTTTGAGGCAACACAGAGAGTCTACACAGGCAGCTTCTGCCTTCATGGAGCTTAGACACTAGTGGCCAAATACAGGCGTTCATCAAATAAGCAGAGAAATGAGGGTGCAGTTCTAAACCTAAGTAAGCACTCTACAGTAAAGGAATCTGCCTTCTAAGAGATGACGATAAAGGAAGCTGCCCTTGACTCAGAGCAGGCTTCCCCCAGGAAAGCGGCTGGAGATGACCTCCTCTGAAGGGTACCTATGCATTAACTAGGAGAGGAAGGGGCGGGGCACGGGGTGTTCCTGTAGGCTGTAAGCAGCGGGAGCAGCATGTGCAAAGGGCGTGCAAAAACAAAGCAGAATAGTAACAGGCACAGAAGGGCTCAGTGTGACCAGAACACGGACCACAGGGGTGTTTGAGGCTCTGGCAGGCATTTAAGCAGGATCCCAGCATCTTCTATGCCACCTCAAAGATGAGGACTTTGCCCTAAGAGCCATGTGTCAGCGGTGGCAGGCTCTAATGAGGGACTTGGGTCTGTCTGGCAAGAGAAGCCCATCAAAAGCTCTGGGGTCCTTGTGAAATTGAGGCTTGCGCGCCTCCATCTTCAGGGAGGGTCTGGCAGGATGATCATGTCTTTCTTTCCAACTTTCATCAGCTTTGTATCAACTGAAAGGCAGGGTCCTGATCCTGTGAAAGAATTGACTTGAGTGTCTAACAGTGGGGGCACTTTCTGGAATGGGGGAGAAACAACATAAAAAAAAAATCCAAGGTCATTAACAGTGTTGCCTAGAATGTGAGTATTAACTTTCTACACATGAAAACATGGCTTTCTATTGTCAATAGACACCATGCGCACCTGCTGCATCATAGGACTTGAAATGACTGGATTCCTGGGGCTCCATCTCTGCCTGGAGAGTGAGGCCGCCTAAGGTCAGCACTCACCCAGTGTGGACACATGGCAAATGGGGAGAGGGAACAGACTGAGAGGCACACAGACTGGGCGGATGAGTCCCAGCTCTCCCACTTCCAGCCCACAGTGGCCCCGGAAGGGCTGCGTGACTGTGGGGAGGTCAGAGCCGCATTACCCCCCTGCGGGTGTGCAGTGACGCACAGGGGCTGCATTCCTGGCCCCGGGGAGGAAGGCTCACCATTCAGATGGTGACTGCTTCATGACACAGAAGGGGGAGGAGGGAGTTGGTGCAGAGTTAGGTGTCCTCTTTTTCATTTTTTTTTAAAATCAGGCCTTCATTAGTATTCTGTGGAGGCTGTAATTTCTTTTTAATCTATTTTTAATTGAAGCATAATTTACTTATGTTAGAGTGTTCTCTTTTTAGTTGTACAGTTCTATGAATTTTGACATGCAAATTTTTACATTTGAGTAGCTGTTGCCCCAATCATGATAGGGACTGTTTTGGTCACCATCCACTTCACTCTTGGTGGCTGTGATTTGTGGCTAAGCACAGAAATGAGGGTGCAGTTCTAAACCGAAATAAGCACTGTACAGTAAAGAAATCTTTACAAGACACAGACAGCATGGGGAGGACCTGAGGGCGTACAGAATTGGAGATGGTGCTGTCCCATCTGGTGGTCCCAGGAAGGCCACCTGATTATACCATTTCTCAAGCTCCTCCCCCCAGACTACGAGACCTCAATCAATTTATAGAGGAAGCTGCTGCCCTCTCGACCTTCTGGATGTGAAAAGAAGTGTCCTGCACTCCAGACACCATCTGGACGAACTATGGGATTGAGTATGTTCCTGGGCAAGCTGCTAGTTCCATAGTGACTTTGTTATCCTTCACTCCACGCACTGGAGAGAGGGTGTGGATGCCACTCCTAGCTTTCTGCCCATCAAAGAGAGCAGACTGTCCTCCAGACCCAGCCCCTCCCGAAAACCACCATTTCCATGTGCTGCAGCCTCCAGACAGCTTGCTGCTGGGCTTGTGTTGCTCTCTTCATTTTGGTTCGTGTTTATCATTTCCTGTGAGGCCATATCCTGTGCTCTGGAGAGTCTCAGACAAATTAAACAGTGAAACTGGGAATGCCCCATGTACTCCTCAGACTTTCCATTCTCCTGGCACTGCCATTGGGTTTCTGCAGTGCTACCTTTTAGGAGGAGGGGGAAAACACGTGAAGAAAGACTACAGTCAAACCCTGGCAAAGGCTTACTAAAAATGGTGATTTGGGATCATATGAGCATTTCAGAACACATTTGTTAAAAGAAGGGGGCAAGGAACAAGGCTTCGGATCTCCAGAGTTCCTGGAAAATTTAATTCCATGTTCTCAAAGGAATTAAATCAAAGTAAGGCAGGAGTCAGAGGGAAAAGGGGAGGAATTCGGGAGAATGTTGAAAAGCCCCTCTCCGCCTTACCAAGTGGAACACAGGTTTGCTGGACAACAGTGGGGTGAGTTCGCATTTAGGGACGGCATCAGCGAGAAACCAGAAAGCTTTGAGACAGGCAGTTTCAGAAGCTGTGTTGCCAGGCATTGAATATGCAGAAGATAAGTGAGTTTTGTCTCAGGATAAGATCTGTATAAAATTTCCTTTTTTAACAGAAGATTTCCGTCAGGAAGAGATTCAAAAAAACATCTGGCCTGCGGCCCAGGTGGCATAATTGTCACAGACCCCAGCTTTGACTCTTAATGTTTCCCATTGGATCCCTGAAGCCCTCCGCTGTCTGTGTGTCTTGCACTGTCTCCATTGGGCGTGACCTTGAATTAACCCATCCCCAGGGTTCTTTTGTCTTTCACAATCACACTTTCAAAACACTCTGAAAACGATTTCGATCCTGTTAGAGTCTCATGTTAAAACAACATTGAGTTTCTCTTGTGAGAGGAAATCAGTTG